AAACAGAGCCTACAAGTTAAAATTGTCATTAATCATGCACTCTGCCCCAGCAACAAAATCATAGTCAAATATTAATAAAATATTAAAACATATAAATGGTGATTTAAATTCAAAAGTTAAAAAAATAAAAGCCCAAAACACAATATACAATACTTAAATTAATGGTTAAAATGAAGTAATTGAAAATATTGTAACCAAAATTAAATATTCACAATAATAATGTATCACGAAATAATATGACTAAAATATAAATATTAAAATTAAATGCTAAATGAAATAAAGCAAAAACTTCAATTGGTGGCTAATATAATACAAAAGACAAGGACTAAAATAATAAAACTAAGAACTTAAGACAAATCCGAAAACATCAAATATTTAAAGGATTAAAATAATAATTAAACCAACAAAGAACAGTGATAAAAATAAAAAACATTAAAATAACATAACCAAATTAAAACAAAACAAGGCAATGACTAAAATGATATATTTTCAAATGTTAGCTTAAATCTAAACATCCCTAAAAATACACAAAACACTAAATTAGTGACCAAAATAAACTGTTTATAAATACAATGACAAAATCGAATATTCACATTAATAATAAAAAACAAAAATGACTAAAATATAAGTATTAAAGCATTAACGCTCAAAAATAAAGTAAACATTTATTAAGTGACCATACTGAAACTTTTACAAGACAGAGACCCTCCCTACATGATTCATCCATGTGTCGAACATATGAAAACCATAAGTGACCAAACGACGTCGTTTTACTTTATATTTATACTACCTTAAGGGATTTTGAAACCCTTATTTTTCATTTGCTTCCTCCCTCAGCCGTTTTCCCTTTTCTCTGTATCACTCTTTTTCTCATGCTTCTTCACCGAGATGAATAACGAGGCTCCCCGGCCATCGTAAATCGGTGGCCACAGGGAGCAAAACACAAGGTTGGATATGGGGCATGTCTCTTTTTTTGTTCGAATCTACCCTTGTATTTTCTATTCGAACCCCCCGATTCGAATATCTCTATATTCTTTTCTTTCTTGTTTCATCCCCCTCTAATTTTTTCATATTATTTTCTTATTTGTGGGCAACTAGGTTAGATTCGAAAATAAAAAATGTATATCTATGTTGGTTTTTTTTAATATATATATATATATTTCCATACTCTAAGAGAATCGAAAAGAAATTTTCCTCAACTTAATCGAACATGCAAGGATTTAAAGTGAACAAATCAGAAGATAAAATGCATTAAAATGATGAAAATAGTAGAAAAAACAGTAAATAATTGATACCCCTGTTATTGCTTGAATATAGAGTTTACAGTGTGTCGTTTGCCAGGATTTTCCCCAATCCCTGTTTCAATCTTTTTTTATTCGAATGCTCTATGATATCTCTTCCTTTTCTTTCTTTTTTTTTCTCTAATCCTCTGCCTATTTTATGGTTGATATCTCCACCTAATCTTCATGGATGCATCTGTGTTTTCTTCGTTTTTGGTAGGATATTGACAAGTTAGGTATGATTTAAGTGATATGCTTTTGACTTTGCTGATATTGTTTGTTTTTGCTGTTCAGTGGCCGACATGGTGATGATGATGTTTCAACTTGCTCAGAGGTGACTAGCCTTAGGGACTCGTCGGTGGAGAGGCTTGGTACTGTTATTGATCTGGGTCTGTTGGGTTGCTTATAATTGGACCACATTTGACCTGCACAAAAATATAAACACACTTAATAATAATAATAATAATAATAATAATAATAATAATAATAATTTAATAATATTTTTTAACCCTGACAAAAAATGGGTCTCTACAGGGGATTTGAACTCAAAAACATTAGAACCGAAGGACAATGCTTAACCACTACACCAACTTAAAGTTTTGATTAAATCCTACAAACATAATATACATAATGAGTCATCATTCCAAAAGTTACTTTCTAAAAAACCCATGAAATTATTAAAATTCCCAAAAAAATACCTTAAATTCTAGAAAAATTCAAAAAAAATCCTAAATTCCAAAAAGTCACAAACTCTAAATCACAATCCCTAAAAATTATAAGATTCATTTTTAGGGAGTTTATGATTTTTTGGTAATCCCTAAATTCATTGTAAAAAAATAAATCTTATGATTTTTAGTATTTTTAGGGTTTATGATTTAGAGTTTATAATTTTTTGTAATCCCTAAATTCATTCCAAAAAATGAATCTTATGATTTTTATGATTTTTAAGGATTACAATTTAGAATTTTTGATTTTTTGCGATTTTTAGAAATTTAGGAGTTTTTTTTAGATTTTTTGGAATTTAAGGTGTTTTTTTTTAAATTTTAATAATTTCATGAGGTTTTTAGAAAGTAACTTTTGGAATGCTTACTCATGTTATGTATTTTATGTTTGTAAAATTATGTCAAAAATTTAAGTTGGCATAGGGTTAAGCCTTAACTTTTGTTTCAAAAAGTCTTGAGTTCAAATCCCCTCGAATGAATAAGTTTATTAAATTTTCTCAACCAAAACTACGTCGTTTTGGTGAGAGAGCCACGTCAGCAACGTCACGGCATATAGATGACTTGTCATCATGTCGTTAAGCCATTAACGGTGGAGTGACATAATTGCAATTAAACGTAAACGTTAGTGTTAAAATTGAAAAAAAATTTAAACATTTGTGGCATAAATGAGCCCATGCCTAAATGTGAGTGCTATTTAAGTAGTTTACCCTAAATTATATATATTAATGGGTAAGTAAACAATGGTCTCCTGATTATAGGACATTGTTTTGTTGAGTCTCCGACTATTAAAAGTTACAAAATGATCCCCGGCTATAGAGAGTTGTTTTATTGAGTCCCTCGACTATTAAAAGTTACAAAATATTCACTCGATTATTCATTATATTTAAAACTAGTCATTGTCCGTTAAAAAATTAATTACAGACGTTAACTTGCTGACTGAAATATAATAAAGTTTGATCTTATAATCTCAAACGACTATCATATCTCTGTCAGCATGTTAACGTCCAACTATATGATCATTAATTTTTTAACGGAAAAGGACGAGTTTGAAACATAATGAACAGTCAGGTGATCATTTTGTAACTTTTAATAGTCGAGTAACTCAACAAAGCAACTCCATATAGTCAGAGGACCATTTTGTCACCAACGTTTAAGCTCGGGCTAGTTTATGTCACCAACGTTTCAATTTAGCTAATTTTAACACTAACGTTTAAGTTTAACTACAATTATGTCGCTCTACCGTTAGTGGCTTAATGGCATGATGACATGGCATCTTCGTGCCGTGACGATTCTAACGTGGCTCCCTCATCAAAACGACATCGTTTTGGCATGATTGTGTTTGGTGCTAAAAAAACCCAAAACGACGTATTTTTGTTTGAAAAAATTTAGTAAAATTATGCATTGAGGGGATTTGAACTCAAAAACATTAGAACCAAAGGACAATACTTAACCACTACACCAACTTAAAGTTTTGATTAAATCCTACAAACATAATATACATAATGAGTCATCATTCCAAAAGTTACTTTCTAAAAAACCCCATGAAATTATTAAAATTCCCAAAAAAATACCTTAAATTCTAGAAAATTTCAAAGAAAATCCTAAATTCCAAAAAGTCATAAACTCTAAATCACAATCCCTAAAAATCATAAGATTCATTTTTAGGGAGTTTATGATTTTTTGGTAATCCCTAAATTCATTGTAAAAAAATAAATCTTATGATTTTTAGTATTTTTAGGGTTTATGATTTAGAGTTTATAATTTTTTGTAATCCCTAAATTCATTCTAAAAAATGAATCTTATGATTTTTAAGGATTACAATTTAGAATTTTTGATTTTTTGCGATTTTTAGAAATTTAGGAGTTTTTTTAGATTTTCTGGAATTTAAGGTGTTTTTTTTTTAAATTTTAATAATTTCATGGGTTTTTTTTAGAAAGTAACTTTTGGAATGCTTACTCATGTTATGTATTTTATGTTTGTAAAATTATATCAAAAATTTAAGTTGGCATAGGGTTAAGCCTTAACTTTTGTTTCAAAAAGTCTTGAGTTCAAATCCCCTCGAATGAATAAGTTTATTAAATTTTCTCAAACAAAACTACGTCGTTTTGGTGAGAGAGCCACGTCAGCAACGTCACGGCACAGAGATGACTTGTCATCATATCGTTAAGCCATTAACGGTGGAGTGACATAATTGCAGTTAAACGTAAACGTTAGTGTTAAAATTGAAAAAAATTGAAACATTTGTGGCATAAATGAGCCCATGCCTAAATGTGAGTGCTATTTAAAGTAGTTTACCCTAAATTATATATTAATTAATGGGTAAAGTAAACAAATGGTCTCCTGATTATAGGACATTGTTTTGTTGAGTCTCCGACTATTAAAAGTTACAAAATGATCCCCGGCTATAGAGAGTTGTTTTGTTGAGTCCCTCGACTATTAAAAGTTACAAAATATTCACTCGATTATTCATTATATTTAAAACTAGTCATTTTCCGTTAAAAATTAATTACAGACGTTAACTTGCTGACTGAAATATAATAAAGTCTGATTTTATAATCTCAAACGACTATCATATCTCTGTCAGCATGTTAACGTCCAACTATATGATCATTAATTTTTAACGGAAAATGACGAGTTTGAAACATAATGAATAGTCAGGTGATCATTTTGTAACTTTTAATAGTCGAGTAACTCAACAAAGCAACTCCATATAGTCAGGGGATCATTTTGTAACTTTTAATAGTTAAGGGACTCAACAAAGCAATATGCTATAGTCAGAGGACCATTTGTGTACTTTACCCTTAATTATTTAACTTTTGATCAAATATATGATGATTTTGTTTGGAATATAATCTCTCTTTCATCTCTCTCTTCTTTGCAATTAAGCAATCTGACTAAAGAAGTTTCACTCCCTTTTCTCGTTTACCTGTTCTTCCATAGTTCCCAAACATGTGCTTCTCTGACAGTATGCTATAAATTAGATCATCTGCTTCAAAATTCCAACAATCAGCACCCAATTTCGTCTAATCAATCTGCTCTCTTTCTCTGACAAAATGGAAACTTGGTTCATCATCGTTTCAACGCTCTGCATAGCTGCTTTGATCAAAGCCTTATTTAACCTTGTTTTTCTTTACAGAAAATATGACCGCTCCAACACCAACCTCCCACCAGGCCCTCCAACCATTCCCATCATAGGCAATGCCATATTGCTTGGGAAATCGTTCTATGAACTTGAGTCAAACCTCAGAAATGTCCGTGCAAAGTTGGGGAACATAGTGACTCTCCGTATCGGTCCCTATCCGATAGTATTTGTTTGTGATCATTCTCTGGCTCACCAGGCCCTCGTACAGAAAGGTTCTTTTTTCGGTGATCGACCGTCGACTGTTTCGATCGGCAATCAACATACCATTAATTCTGCTCGATATGGACAAACATGGAGTGTTCTACGTAAAAATCTTACCTCTGAGATTCTCAATCCTTCTCGGGTTAGATCTTACTCTCATGCTCGTAAGTGGGTGTTGAACATTCTCAAGGAACAGCTTCTCAAATCCAAAAGTGGTGGCCAACCTGTTCGAGTTGTGGATCACTTTAGATACGCCATGTTTTGCTTGTTAGCCCTTGTGTGCTTTGGTGATAAGCTTGATGAAGAACAGATCAGAAGAATCGAGGATGTTCAGCGTGATTTACTGTTGAATTTCCAAAATTTCAACATACTCGATATCTGGCCTAGAGTTACCAAGTTTTTATTCTATAAGCATTGGAAGAAGTCCCTGCAAATTCGACAAAATCAAGAAGATGTGTTGATCCCGTTGATAAGGGCAAGAAAGGAGGCAAAGCAAGAGCACTTGAACAAGATGAAAGAGAATGACAACAATGATGATGATGGCTTTGTTTTATCATATGTGGACACTTTGTTGGATCTACAACTCCCAGAGGAGAAAAGGAAACTAAATGAAGGGGAAATGGTGAGTTTGTGCTCTGAATTTCTTAATGCTGGTACAGATACTACATCTACAGTTCTGCAATGGATTATGGCAAACTTGGTGAAAAATCCTCATATTCAACAGAAGCTATTCATGGAAATTAAAGGGGTTGTGGGAGAAGGAGAGGAAGAGGTGAAAGAAGAGGATTTACAAAAGATGCCTTATCTGAAAGCAGTAATTTTGGAAGGTCTAAGGCGTCACCCACCTGCACATTTTCTATTACCACACAGAGTTACCAAAGATGTCATTTTGAATGATTTTTTGTTGCCCAACAAAGTTATTATAAACTTCATGGTGGCCGAGATGGGATTGGATCCTAAGGTGTGGGAAGATCCCATTGCTTTTAAACCAGAAAGGTTTGTGAACAGTGATGGCTTCGACCTAACAGGGAGCAAGGGGATCAAGATGATGCCATTTGGGGCAGGGAGGAGGATTTGCCCTGCACTTGGTTTGGCAGTGCTTCATTTGGAGTATTTTGTGGCGAATTTAGTTTGGTGTTTTGAATGGAAAGCTGTGAATGGAGATAATGTTGATTTGTCTGAGAAAGAAGAATTTACGATAGTGATGAAGACTCCATTGCAGGCTCACATATATTCCAGGCACACATAAAATCTTTGCATTGATCATACGACGTTATATTCTTCTTTTGTACTGTTCTGTACCTTACTTTCAAACTTATATTGAGATTATTTTCTTAATAGCCTCTGTTGGAGCGATCTCTATCTATTTAATTTTAGTCATAATGTCCAAAACAGCCTCTAATCTTTATTAAAATAGTCATTTTGGCCCCTATTTTTTTTAGCATTTTAACCCCCAACATTTCACTTTGGGGGCAAAAGCTCCCTCAATAGATGAAAATCATTAGTTAACACACGATTAACGCTTTAAAATGAGAGTCTTTTTTAACCTAAAATGATACGTTGGGTGCTAAAATACTTCAATAAATAAATAAATAAGAGACAAAGTGATTATTATGTCAAATGGTAGGGGTCTTTTACCCTAAAATAAAATCTTGGGGGTCAAAATGCTCCAAAAATAGAATAAAAGAAAAATGACCGTTTTAATAAATATTGAAGGCTAATTTTGACATTATACCTCAATTTTATTTTTGTTGGCTAAGTTTGTCACCAAATCACGCTGAACATCCTCGATTCTTCTGATCTGTTCTTCATCAAGCTTATCACCAAAGCACATAAGGGCTAACAAGCAAAACATGGCGTATCTAAAGTGATCCACAACTCGAACAGGTTGGCCACCACTTTTGGATTTGAGAAGCTGTTCCTTGAGAATGTTCAACACCCACTTACGAGCATGAGAGTAAGATCTAACCCGAGAAGGATTGAGAATCTCAGAGGTAAGATTTTTACGTAGAACACTCCATGTTTGTCCATATCGAGCAGAATTAATGGTATGTTGATTGCCGATCGAAACAGTCGACGGTCGATCACCGAAAAAAGAACCTTTCTGTACGAGGGCCTGGTGAGCCAGAGAATGATCACAAACAAATACTATCGGATAGGGACCGATACGGAGAGTCACTATGTTCCCCAACTTTGCACGGACATTTCTGAGGTTTGACTCAAGTTCATAGAACGATTTCCCAAGCAATATGGCATTGCCTATGATGGGAATGGTTGGAGGGCCTGGTGGGAGGTTGGTGTTGGAGCGGTCATATTTTCTGTAAAGAAAAACAAGGTTAAATAAGGCTTTGATCAAAGCAGCTATGCAGAGCGTTGAAACGATGATGAACCAAGTTTCCATTTTGTCAGAGAAAGAGAGCAGATTGATTAGACGAAATTGGGTGCTGATTGTTGGAATTTTGAAGCAGATGATCTAATTTATAGCATACTGTCAGAGAAGCACATGTTTGGGAACTATGGAAGAACAGGTAAACGAGAAAAGGGAGTGAAACTTCTTTAGTCAGATTGCTTAATTGCAAAGAAGAGAGAGATGAAAGAGAGATTATATTCCAAACAAAATCATCATATATTTGATCAAAAGTTAAATAATTAAGGGTAAAGTACACAAATGGTCCTCTGACTATAGCATATTGCTTTGTTGAGTCCCTTAACTATTAAAAGTTACAAAATGGTCCCCTGACTATATGGAGTTGCTTTGTTGAGTTACTCGACTATTAAAAGTTACAAAATGATCACCTGACTATTCATTATGTTTCAAACTCGTCCTTTTCCGTTAAAAATTAATGATCATATAGTTGGACGTTAACATGCTGACAGAGATATGATAGTCGTTTGAGATTATAAAATCAGACTTTATTATATTTCAGTCAGCAAGTTAACGTCTGTAATTAATTTTTAACGGACAATGACTAGTTTTAAATATAATGAATAATCGAGTGAATATTTTGTAACTTTTAATAGTCGAGGGACTCAACAAAACAACTCTCTATAGCCGGGGATCATTTTGTAACTTTTAATAGTCGGAGACTCAACAAAACAATGTCCTATAATCAGGAGACCATTTACTTTACCCTTAATTAATATATAATTTAGGGTAAACTACTTTAAATAGCACTCACATTTAGGCATGGGCTCATTTATGCCACAAATGTTTCAATTTTTTTCAATTTTAACACTAACGTTTACGTTTAACTGCAATTATGTCACTCCACCGTTAATGGCTTAACGACATGATGACAAGTCATCTTTGTGCCGTGACGTTGCTGACGTGGCTCTCTCACCAAAACGACGTAGTTTTGTTTGAGAAAATTTAATAAACTTATTCATTCGAGGGGATTTGAACTCAAGACTTTTTGAAACAAAAGTTAAGGCTTAACCCTATGCCAACTTAAATTTTTGATATAATTTTACAAACATAAAATACATAACATGAGTAAGCATTCCAAAAGTTACTTTCTAAAAAAAACCCATGAAATTATTAAAATTTAAAAAAAACACCTTAAATTCCAGAAAATCTAAAAAAACTCCTAAATTTCTAAAAATCGCAAAAAATCAAAAATTCTAAATTGTAATCCTTAAAAATCATAAGATTCATTTTTAGAATGAATTTAGGGATTACAAAAAATTATAAACTCTAAATAATAAACCCTAAAAATACTAAAAATCATAAGATTTATTTTTTTACAATGAATTTAGGGATTACCAAAAAATCATAAACTCCCTAAAAATGAATCTTATGATTTTTAGGGATTGTGATTTAGAGTTTATGACTTTTTGGAATTTAGGATTTTTTTGAAATTTTCTAGAATTTAAGGTATTTTTTTGGGAATTTTAATAATTTCATGGGGTTTTTTAGAAAGTAACTTTTGGAATGATGACTCATTATGTATATTATGTTTGTAGGATTTAATCAAAACTTTAAGTTGGTGTAGTGGTTAAGTATTTTCCTTTGGTTCTAATGTTTTTGAGTTCAAATCCCCTCAATGCATAATTTTACTAAATTTTGTCAAACAAAAATACGTCGTTTTGGGTTTTTTTAGCACCAAACACAATCATGCCAAAACGATGTCGTTTTGATGAGGGAGCCACGTTAGAATCGTCACGGCACGAAGATGCCATGTCATCGTGCCATTAAGCCACTAACGGTAGAGTGACATAATTGTAGTTAAACTTAAACGTTAGTGTTAAAATTAGCTAAATTGAAACGTTGGTGACATAAACTAGCCCGAGCTTAAACGTTGGTGACAAAATGGTCCTCTGACTATATGGAGTTGCTTTGTTGAGTTACTCGACTATTAAAAGTTACAAAATGATCACCTGACTGTTCATTATGTTTCAAACTCGTCCTTTTCCGTTAAAAAATTAATGATCATATAGTTGGACGTTAACATGCTGACAGAGATATGATAGTCGTTTGAGATTATAAGATCAAACTTTATTATATTTCAGTCAGCAAGTTAACGTATGTAATTAATTTTTTAACGGACAATGACTAGTTTTAAATATAATGAATAATCGAGTGAATATTTTGTAACTTTTAATAGTCGAGGGACTCAATAAAACAACTCTCTATAGCCGGGGATCATTTTGTAACTTTTAATAGTCGGAGACTCAACAAAATAATGTCCTATAATCAGGAGACCATTTGTTTACTTTACCCATTAATTAATATATAATTTAGGGTAAACTACTTTAAATAGCACTCACATTTAGGCATGGGCTCATTTATGCCACAAATGTTTAATTTTTTTTTCAATTTTAACACTAACGTTTACGTTTAACTGCAATTATGTCACTCCACCGTTAATGGCTTAACGACATGATGACAAGTCATCTATATGCCGTGACGTTGCTGACGTGGCTCTCTCACCAAAGCGACGTAGTTTTGTTTGAGAAAATTTAATAAACTTATTCATTCGAGGGGATTTGAACTCAAGACTTTTTGAAACAAAAGTTAAGGCTTAACCCTATGCCAACTTAAATTTTTGACATAATTTTACAAACATAAAATACATAACATGAGTAAGCATTCCAAAAGTTACTTTCTAAAAACCCCATGAAATTATTAAAATTTAAAAAAACACCTTAAATTCCAGAAAATCTAAAAAAACTCCTAAATTTCTAAAAATCGCAAAAAATCAAAAATTCTAAATTGTAATCCTTAAAAATCATAAGATTCATTTCGTTTTTAGCATTTTTAAAAATCATAATTTTAGTCCTTGTCTTTTGTATTTTTATATATTAGCCACCAATTGAAGTTTTGCTTTATTTCGTTTTTAGCATTTAATTTTTAATATTTATATTTGTCATATTATTTCGTGATACATTATTATTGTGAATATTTAATTTTGGTTACAATATTTTCAATTACTTCATTTTAACCATTAATTTAAGTATTGTATTATTGTGTTTTGGGCTTTTATTTTTTTAACTTTTGAATTTAAATCACCATTTATATGTTTTAATATTTTATTAATATTTGACTATAATTTTGTTGCTGGGGCAGAGTGCATGATTAATGACAATTTTAACTTGTAGTGCTCTGTTTAATCCGTGAGCAGATACTTGGTTTAGAATGAATATTATGTTTGCATGTGACAATTCTATTTTTTTAATATTTAACCTTTGCAACATGACCGTAATTTTTATTCTTTTCTTGATTTCACGTTATTCTTTATTTATGTAAATGGATTTTAGCTTCGACTAAAATTATTAATTATTATTTACTTTTTGAAAGTTATGGTTTAAGTTTTAGCATGAGTAAATGTTTAATTTTAATCCCTTTAGAATTTTTTTTATTATTTTGAACTTTTAAACTTTGGTAATTACTATTTTAGGACTTAAAGTTTTCGTTTATATCATTTTAGTCCTTTAATTTTATATTTTTTCTATTTCAATCCTTAAAGTTTTTTTCTTTCTATATTGGTCTTTATAAATTTAAATACTTATGTTTTCTATTTGTATTTAGGATTGTAATATTCATTTATATTCATTTCAGTCCTTTTGAATTTACTCCTTCAAGTTATTAATTCAAAGCAAATTAATTAATATTTAATAAATTCAACTCATAAATTCTATCATTACGACAACGTGTAAGCGACACAGTACCAATTTTGGGCACTGTGAGGGGTGCTAATCTTTCCCCACGTGTAACTGACTCCCGAACCCGTTTTAATCGAATCTTTGGTAAACGCAGACTAGTATTTTGTCTTTAAAAATGATTTTTCTTAAAATTGTTTTTAAAAGACATTTTTAGGTATTCGACCTACCTAACCCAAAGGTTGATGGCGACTCTATCCAAATTAATCCAAAATCACTAAATTTTCCCAAATTAAAAATCGTAACTGTTTTTAAAACAATTAAACGATTGTCCCCGCCGAAAAACGGTTACGACATCCCCTCAATGCATAATTTTACTAAATATTTTCAAACAAAAATACGTCGTTTTGGGTTTTTTTAGCACCAAACACAATCATGCCAAAACGATGTCGTTTTGATGAGGGAGCCACGTCAAAATCGTCACGGCACGGAGATGCCATGTCATCGTGCCGTTAAGCCACTAACGGTAGAGCGACATAATTGTAGTTAAACTTAAACGTTAGTGTTAAAATTAGCTAAATTGAAACGTTGGTGACATAAACTAGCCCGAGCTTAAAGGTGAATGATATTTGAAGTAGTTTACCCAATAATTTATTAGTTAATTATTTCATATTAAATATTATATAAATTTATTATGAAACGATTTAATCCATTTCATTTATAATCTTAAAATTTAAATGTTAATTTTATTTTAAAAATTGATTATCTTATTCCATTATATCAAATTGTTGTTAATTTATTACTCATTTGATTGTAAATTATTTGATATTGTTTTTCAATTGCAAATATACTATTTTCCGGTCAAAACGCGTGTTTTGGAAATCACCTGTAATCGATTAAAAGTATGCAAGAAATTTTGTTAGTCAAAAAGGTTATTTTTTTCTAAAAGGATAAAGAAAAGTATGCAAGAAATTTATTAGTCAAAAAGTTTATTTTCTAAAAAGGATAAAGAAAAGTATGCAATTTATCGCAAGAGATTGATTAGAATAGTAAGTAGTTTGATATTGTTTAAATATGATTTTGAGTTTGAGTTATTTTATATGCATAAAATCTCTGTTAGGAGACTCATTTATCAAAATTAAATGTGTAATTTGGATCGATCCGAATTAATCAAGACGAAACTTTAAAATTAAGAGAAAAAAAAAAGAAAATTCTGCAATTTTAGCGACTGTTTTGTTTTGCAGTTTCTTATGGCCGGCGGCAACTATCAAACAAATATAGTATACTAGAATACATTTTTGC